TATACGTGAAAGGCTATTGTGAATATTGTTTAAACTAGACAAGAAAGACTTCTATAATGTTCTAACGCGTAACAGTTCTATTGCGTTACGTTTAACAACGGTAAGTTAGTGACTGTACGTAAATAGCGTCACGCTCCATTAACTGCGCTTTAACGATTGACTTTAAAGCTTTATTTATTAAAGTAAACATAAAATAAGAATCACAAGATGTGTCATTCAAGTTGCATGTCTCAAACGTGTCTTAAACTTGCGCTAAAAAAGGGGAAATTCCGGTCACAGCTTTTAGTTACCAAGTGACTCTCTTCTTTTATTGCTCTAGTAGAAAACATGGCTTTGGCACTTCCATTATATAGGAAGCCATTTACTGCGTCGGGTTTTTGACAGGAGAGATCTAAAATGTACCTTGATGGGGGAAGAAAAAAATTAATCAGACTTCCTTCATCAGTGTCGAAAAAATTGTCACCATTTCTTGAAATTGGCTCCAGCTAAACCCGCCTATTTTACTGCGGCAGATCTGGTTGTGACGTGATTTTACTCAATGTCTGGCGCCAATATTGGTGGAAGCAAACATTTATTGTCTTTGGCTTTCTACAAATGCACCAAACTTGAGGAAAAAAAAAAAAAATTCAAAGTTGGGTGTTCCCCACCAGGAATGTCTGAGGTTATTTATTTCAAAAAAATGTTTCGATCATCAAGAAATCCCTTTAGATTGTTATGAGAAATCAACATTCAACAATTGCTTTAGAAACAATCCATTAAAAAAGTAAACATTACAGTGTCCCACAGTCTGGCAGTTTCTGAAAGAATTTTTTTTTTAGTTTGCGCAGATGTTCTGAAACTAATGTTTGTCACTCCCTAGCCTGAGCAGCTGACGTTTATTTGCAGCTCATCCCCACTTCTCTCCATTTTTGGCTCATCCCAGTCGCGCTCGTTTGCTCGCACCCTTGCTCGATCTCCACGCCTGGAAAATGAAAAGGAAACGTCGGCTACGCAGGCTAGCCTCTCAGCGGAAAAATAATTTCAACCAGGCTCGTTCATTTCATTACCAGTGTTGTAAAAGTCACATTAATATGACAAATTTGAAACTTACGCATTAACCAGTTTTTGCAAGAAACCAAAGACTCAACTTCAACGTAACTTTACTACTTTCATCTTTTTTTCTTGATTTTTATGTGCTTCTAAATATGTTATTTCACTGGTTGGATACAGTGGACCGGGAGAGTTCATGAATTGCTGCTTTTCTTGTGCTTATTTCTTAACAGTAAATAAACAAAGGACTCAATTATTGCACCTTAAAACATCAGCAATTCCAAAGATAGGGC